GGAGTTCAGACGTGTGCTCTTCCGATCTACTTGAGTTGAGTAAAGTAATACGATTTTGTAATATAATAATATTTTAAAGAATTAAATAACAATTACCATTAGGTTGAAATAGAAAGAGTTAATAGGTATAAAGATTACATATCACTTGGATTGAGTGAGATGTGCTCGGGGGTTGAGGGGCACAAGAGGATCCGACTCCGCTGAGGAACGGGATTTCACTTTATGTTGAAATAACTCCGACACTCGATATAAACTTTCACGATAATATATTTTCTTTAACTCACTTTATTACACAGACTTGATTTCTTTAAGCACCTTCACCTTATCTAATATAAACAGACTAACTTTCGCGACACGAACGTCGGGATCGATCGTGACAAGACGGACGTAAAGACTGACCGCCCGCGGCTTATCGTTGCGCGTACTTATTACTACGCGTTGCCGCGTCAGCGCTCAGCATTTCGGTAATTGCATTGCGCGACTGTTCTCGGTACGTCGCGGTTAACGTCCTTTGATTTATTGTATTTTTGAATATAATGATATTGTTTATTTTACGCCGAATGCCTAGCCGGCTCGAATGATTATTTATTAGTTCTTAAAATACTTATTGTTGAGAGGGCATCGGCCTCGCGACAGAGATATAACACGTTTGCGAAAAATTAAAACTACTATCATTTGGGTTGGAATGGAAAGACAAATGGGAATACAAAGATACATATCAGTTAGAACGTTTTTTTTTTAATCTTCACTTTTATAAAATTTTTTTTTATGAGATTGTAATTTGGCAATTATTGATATCAAATATTTTGTACAAGTCATATACATATGACTTGAAGTGATTGAGTAATCAACCGTAAATTTTATGGAATCATAACTTGGCGCCAGTTTTTGATATCAAACCTTTTGTACAAATGATACATATCACTTGGTTTGGGTAAGATTACGTAATTTTTATGGGATTGTAACTTGGCGCCATTTATTGATTGATATCACTAGTACATATTACTAGTACATATCACTTTTTAAAAATTTAGTACAATAATTTTTTTGTTCGAGTGGCACATATTTAACGCCTTTTTTCTTTTTTTAGAAAATTATTTTATAATATGTATTTTTTCTACAAGTAATATATATATCACTTTTTTTTTTAATTATTTTATTTTACTAACAACTGCAAATTTTTGGCGCTAATTTTTGATAGCGAAACATTTGTACGGAGGATGCGTATACTTGGCGTTTCTTT